GTAAAGCGATCAAAATTTTCAATGCTTTTTCCGTTTCGGGAAAGAAGGAATTTGTTTCTTTTAGGACATCAACAACTGTAAGATTTGTTAGATTAAGCCTATCGTGCCACAATTGCTGCCAAAGTTCGATTTCATTCTTTATGTTCGGTAAATCATAAAACTGGGCAATAGATTCACAAGTTTGTTTCAGATTTTCAGTTGTCATCTTTTGCATCTGCGCCGGGTGTAACTTAGATAATGCGAATGAGGGCGTGTTTTCTTCAGCAAAACGTACTTCAAGGGAGGTGATAATTGAATCCAAGTATGGTATTACTAAAGACCTCTTCCAGTATTCTGAAGGGCTTTCTGCTGGATGATTGCTTCTATGACGTTGTTTCCCCGTAATACGCGGCATTGATGTAATGTCCTCCTCCAGTCCGACTTTCTCCGCAACAGCAGTAGCTTCCTTTATAATTTCGTCTTTCACTTTTTCCGGATTTTCACGGTGGTTTTTAATTAAAAGTATAATCCTTTTAACGTGTTCCGAGGCTTTGACCACGTCCAAAGCTGCAGATTGGAGTACGTTGACAACGGGTTCCATCAAAGCCGAGTATTTGGCTACCAACATAATCCCGAGAATGAAAGAAATTCTGGAAGTAGCCGCATACAGTTGGAAGGCACTTTTCCGAGTTACACTATTTACTTCCTGAGATAATGTTTGTAAGGCTTCCAGAATTACTGGAAGATTTTCTTTAAAAACTCTGATGGTTTTGTGTTTCTCACTCCATCTTGTCTCGCAAAGGCTGGAAATATTAGGTGTCAACTTCCTCCTCAAAACTGATTCCCGAAAAAAGTTTATAGTATCTTTGGTGGTTCCCATGGCATTTCTAATTTTAGGAAGTGAATTTAGATCATTGATAACTAGATTCAGTTTGTGGGACGAGCAATGAATGTTGGTGTATTTTTTGCGTAAGATCGCTTGTACCCCGCCGTCTTTTCCTGACATCGTTGAACAACCATCAAAACCAAAACCAACGCATTTATTTATATTCAGATCTTGTTTTGTCAAAAACTCATCTATGCTATGTGCAATCGATTTCGCATCCAAATCTTTTAGCTCAATTAATCCGACAAACATTTCTTGGACTTGCTGTGTTTCTTTATCAAAATATCGCATCCCAATCGATAGTTGTTCAGTGCCAGAAATATCAGCTGTTTCGTCTGCTAGCACACTATATGCTGCTGCTTCTTTCACTTTTTTCATAATATCAGCCTTAATAACGCTTTCACAAATACCAATAATTTCATTTTGAATATCCACTGAACGGTAGCTTGCATTCTTTTTCCCTTGCTCAATGTGTTTCTTTAAAATCAAATCTCCCGCGTCAATTCGCAGCCTGTATAAATCCTCGAGAATACCTTCATCATAATGTTTACCTCTCAGTGTTAAGTCGTGTGACCCGCAAAACGTAATGCAGGAAATAATAGATTTTATAATTTTGCGATTTTCTTCAATAATTCCCTGGGAATATTTGTTCAGTTGCAAATCGACAGGCACACCTTCGAGAAAAGATTTAGCAGCTTTCAATGCCTCCTTATGGAAGTGGGTTTCAATGTGCTTTTTGCACTGCTCGTGAATATCTTTGAACTTACAAAAGGGCCTTATAGTAAATGATCCCAATATGCCTCTAAATGAATTTGAATTTGGTGGGAACAACGTACAATATTTACAAAATGCTCCTTTTTGGCGCCTGGAATATACCAACCATGGAGAGTATGTTTCCAACCAAGAATAATTAAATTTTCTCTTTAAATGTTTTGCATCTTCCGCAAAGTTATAGGTCGCGGAAGGGGACCAACAGTTTTCAATCAATTCCTTCTTCTTTTCGGTTGATAACATGTGTGCCGTCCAACATATCGCCCGATATCATTTCCATTGCAGTCTTCCTCATCCATCAATGAATCAGGATTTGGCGCCAGAGCCAGATATCTAGAGGAACTTGGTCTAGGTAGTTCCTGCGGCTGAATATAACCTGTTGTGGTTGTGGTGACCGATGAAGACACATGCGATATTGTCGTTACTTTGTCCTGTTCATCGCTGTCGCTACTTGATCCATCAGTTTTTTTTCGTTTCATACTTCCTGCAAAACAAAACGCTTTGATAAAACTTTATGTAATTAATGAAATTTTTACGGGAGAGCAGTTTTGTTCAATTACTTATAAACATTATCTCAGGAAGCTTTTTTAGCCTTATTTATATCAAGGATCTGTTTTAATTTGTATTTAATTAAACCACAAATATAATTAAATAAAATAAAAATACTAGCTCTAAGTCCAAGATTAAAACTGTACATAACTTACCAAAAAACTTTCTGATGTCCATTCAGAAACTTCACAACTCAACACTGAGATGATGAGATCCTATTATTTAATAAATATAAATCAATATTGACTAACACAGGCAAGCCGGTAGTCTTAAGGTGTGTCCAAACATTGCGCGGCAAGTGCGCGGCAGCAACACGCACCGTTCGTCAGACACAATTCTGCCGCGCGCCAGTTTGGACGTATTAAGGTATGTCCAAACATTGCGCGGCAAGTGCGCGGCAGCAACACGCGGCGTTCGTCAGACTCAATTCTGCCGCGCGCCTGTTTGGACGTATCAAAGAACGTGTGCGCGGCAGTGCTAGGCGGCATATGCGAGACACGCCGCGCACTTATGTCAAAACAAAATGAATTCATTCATTCCTATTTCGTATCATAGATCTTTCACGTTTAATTTTATTGTGGTAATCTTTTTCTTGTGGATCCCACATCTTCAACAATCTATATACAGTGATACAATAAAGTCTACATACACCCCAGAAAATGATAATATCTCACCTCCTGAAATGTAATTCAATGAATTTTTTAAACGAAGAATATTAAGCCGGAACCACACCAAACGCGCCGCTCCGCGCTGCTCGTGCTGCGCCTAAAAACACCGCGCGAAACTGCACAGGGCCATACACAGCAACGCAGAATGGCGCAAACATATGAACGTTCAGTTCTGTTCCATTTGGCGCGCGCCAGTCAATATGGAATTTAATAGAAAAGTTATAATTGCTGCTGCTATTATTGTTATTAAGCATAATTTGAATAAAAAAAGGCAAAACGGCGTTTTTGGGTAACTCCGATGCTTGCAAGTAGATCCGCTTATAGCGCAAAACAACTTTTAAGTGAAATGCGGATGGGCAATACTGGTCAATTTGAAAATTTTTGCCGAATGTCTTTGGAAGATTTTGAAATCTTGTTAAATTTAATCGAACCGGCAATAAGAAAAAATGATACAAATTATAGAGAGGCTATTTCTTCCAAAGAAAGATTAGCTGTAGCCTTACGGTTTTTGGCCTCGGTAGATTCATTTACCAGCTTAATGTATCTCTTCAAAATATCGAAACAAAGTATATCAACAATAGTGATTGAAGTTTGTCAAGCTCTCAACGAAGCATTAAAAGACCAAGTATAGGTAAGAAAAATTTATTTTTCGGCAATAAAACGTTCAACATAATTTTGTAATGTGTTACAATGTGGTGAAGATACTTCATGAGAGTTGAGTGTGGGAGGTTGCTCTTGGGGAAATGCAACGTTTTGCAGTGTGATATAGTGAGATGAAAGCTGTTGGGAGTTGTTTTTGGGAAGTGGTCCTTGAGAAGGTACATGGTTTTGAGTTGTGGTTGAACGAGATGGATTGAATGTGTAGAGGGCTATTTACGGGAGTACAAGTGAGAGACGAAGTACTTGATGAGTACTCATTCTCATGGTTATTATTATGAATGTTGTTATAAATGTTGCCACTGCCAAATCCCTGCTGAGAATTATGTATTTCCATTTCAGCTTCAAAAATCAAGTTGTTAATTTTATTCATAAGGATGGCCTTACGTGGTTCGTTGAATTTTCTTAGCTTGTTACCAACATGATCTCCATACACCAAACATTCATCACGGGTTCCTGGTCCACTTACAGCACTATCTAGAATTTCGTATGCGCGAGCCAGTCTAGGATCTTCTCTTTCCACTTTTTTTCATCTTTTAATTTTGGGAGAAAAAAAAACCGTTGATTCCGGTGTATCTATTTGTTCTTCATTAGTAGCTTTTCTATAGTCTTCTACAGGTTGCTGTTCATCATCTTTTTCTTCGGAAGTCTGACAATAAAAAATAATAATTATATTAAATCCTGAATATTGAGAAAATGATTATTTACAGATGCCCACTACAATAGAAGGATGGCTTCAAAGTGCTCAAGAGTTCAACAACGTAATTATCCTCATTGCTTGGTCTTTATGGATGGGAAACATGTTATGTTACAGGTACCCATAAATAGTGGCAGCGAATATTACAATTATAAATCATTCTTTAGCATTGTCCTCTTTGCTCTTGTGGACGCAAATTATAATTTTCTCTTTGCTGATGTTGGTTCGCAAGATCATTCTATATCTGATGGGGGAATATTTAAGAATAGTGTATTATGGGAAAAATACAAGAAAAAAGCCTATGTCTTCCGAAAGCAAAAGCACTTCCTAGACGAGAAATACATGTACCCTATGTTATTCTAGGTGATGAAGCATTTGCACTGCATGAAAATGTAATGAAACCTTATTCTGGAGTCTACGATAAAGGGTCAAAAGAAAGAATATTCAACTACCGCTTATGAAGAGCACGGCGTGTAGTAGAAAATGCATTTGGTATTCTTACCTCTGTGTTTAGAGTGCTGAGAAAACCCATGCTCCTTGAACCCCATAAAGCCAGAGACGTAGTGTTAACAACAATTTACTTGCATAATTTTCTAAGGAAAAGTAAAAATTCTGGAAATATGTATGCGCCTACAGAAACTTTTGATTCTGAGCTAGATGACGGCACAGTAGTGAAAGGATCATGGCGAAGAAGTAATATAAACCAAACATTAATGTGCAATTTAAAAAGAGTACCAAGAAAAAGTCCGACGAATGCTCAAGCAATACGAGAAGAATTTGCTGACTATTTCCAAACAAATGGACATTTACCTTGGTAGGATGAGCCTGCCTAAACATCAATGACTTGATTTTTTGTACACATTGTAGGTAGTTGTTAACTAATTACTAGTGGTAGTATACATACAAAATAAAAAACAATAATATAAATACTTTTTATACTTACGTATTGTGTGTTAACGTTGTCTTTAGGATTGTCCTTTTCTGCCAAAAATTCGAAAAACTTGAGAGCAAACCAATTGCTAACATAAATGTCCTGTCATCCTAAAAGTTTACTATTTTAATTTTAATTAGGTAAAAAATGTGTGATTATTTATCTTTTCCCGTGCCCATCGTTTTTATTTCATTTTACTTCTTTCTCTTCTATATGACGATAATAAAGATGTAATTTTTGATTTAACATCAACTACATCGCAACCCATATCTGAAGAAATTTGAGCCCAAGCATCGTGCTTTTTATTTTTGATGTGATAATTATTGTTTTTTGAATTCCATAATTCGAATTTTTGCCAGTATAAATCTATAAGTTTTTCAATATTTTCGTGTGACCACTCAGTTGCACTCATTTCTGGGACTACCAATATTAAAATGTATGTATGTGGCTTTTAGGTTAGGAAGTTAAGAGTACTCAAAACATCGTCCAAACCAAATGCGCAGAAACAATCGTTTTCCTTTGATGTACCGATGCTCAACGGATCGTGCACAAAACAGCGCGTTCTTGCTCAAACTTGCGCGGCTTGTCGTCCAAACCGAAGGCGTCGTGTCGAGCTGCGCTGCTTTAAACAGCGCATGATTCTAGGTCGTAAGGTCTAGTGTTAGTTCTAGTTTTAGTCCAATAAAAATATACAACATAGTATATTGAGTGATATCTTATGCTAACTAGCGCTACTTACTACTGTCTCTAGAACTAACATTAGACCTAGAACTAGAAACATTCGAGCTTAGTCGCACGTCTCTCAAGGCTGCTAAATCCGAATTAGTCTAGTTGTAGGTCTTGTGTTAGGTCTAGTGATAGTGCTAGTGTAAAACTAGGTGAACTTGGACTTGCTATAAACTAGTCCCTATTCATTTGGACAAGTTTTTAATGACTATCAACTAGTTTTCAGTCATTTTGAGCAACATGGATTCTCTAAAAACTAGTTGTTAATCATTTAGACAAGTATAAAATTATGCTCAACTAGTTTTCAATGATTTGGAATACATGAGATGGCTATCAACTTATTTCCAATCATTTTGAACAATTTTACTACCTTATAAACCAATTTTAGACAATGTTGATGCAGTTTTCAGTCATTCTGTGTAACCTGGACTTCCTATAAACTAGTCCTTATACATTTAGACAAGCTTTTAATGACTATCACCTAGTTTTCAGTCATTTTGAGCAACATGGATTGTTTAAAAACTAGTTGTTATAGATTTATACAAGTATAAAATTATGCTAGTTGTAGTTGTGGTCTAGCGCTGTATAATAATTAAAACTAGAACTAACATTAGTTCTAGTTTTACACTAGCACTGTTATTATATAGAACTAACACTATATTTAGAACAAGAATCATTTGGGTTTAGCCGCAAGTCTATAAAGACGGCTAAACCCGAATGATTCTAGTTCTAGATATGGTGTTTGTTCTAGTTTTACACTAGCACTGTTACTATGTGGAATTAACACTATACATAGAACCCAAAATATTCAAGGTCAATGTTTTTTATTCTATCTTTTTTATTTTTTTATATAAATGCATCATGTAATTTAAAATCAGCCCAAACATGATACGATTAATTCCAATATTACTCAAGATATAAGCAACTTCCGGTATTTTTATTGAACTATAACAGACACTGATATACTTTTTTTTAGGACTGTATGTAGACTTTTTGAGTTAAAGATATGATTATGTTTTGTGTTCCCCTTGATTAATAATAGCGTATATAGTTTTTATACAAAATATGGAAATGGTATGGACTTCTTACATGTTTTGTTGAAAAATTTCATTGAATTACATTTCGGGAGCTGAGATATTATCATTTTCCGGGCTGTATGTAGACTTTATTGTATCACTGTACTTCAATTCAACGAATCGATGTTTCTATATCCATTTTTTTGTATACGTCAACACGTCCACACACGATTACCCACGAATGTTTACTGCAAATGTTCGTTAGCAACAGCTGGAACACGATATGCCGCGCGTGTCGTCGTCCAGACATCGCGCGGCACGCCGCGCGCTGTTGCCACGCTCGAATGCCGCGCAATGTCTGGACACACCTTTATAATCGCTTTCCAATTCGCTTGTTTAGCTTGTTTCGTTGATCGCTTCCAATTAAAAAGTGACTCGCTCGCAGCGGCTCACGTCTTTATATACCCAAACGAACATCATACTAGAATGTACGGTAACATTATACCTGGTCTAGGTCTAGTAACTGCTACCAAATTCCAGAGAGTTCATTGAACAAGCGCCATCTAGCGTCGAGTAGCAATACTAGGTTTTACAAGGATTGTAGTCGATTTATTCAACTGTAGGTGTTTCTTATGAATACTTACAGATGGCATTGTCCACAAAACCAATTAAAATTGTATGTTCGTAACAATAACTTCTAACTTCTATTTTAGGTATGCCGCATACTAATTATACAAAACTAACGTGAATGCTGGTGAACGGCTGTCGTAGAAAGAAATGCAATGCAAACACACACACCATACCTACCTCCTACCTACATATTTTTACACTGTTTAATGGCCTTGCCTTTTGGCAAATCTGATATAGTCGTGATGAAAATGGCGGCAATTTTAAAAACGGATATCAAAATCTTATTGTTAATGTTATTCTGAATACTTCAAGAATTTAAATAATTGACGTTTAAGATCACATTTATATCGAATGGTGTGTTTGTTTTTATCGCGGATAGATGGCATTAAAGTTGCAACATTGAGTGTTTTGTAAAGTTATTACTTATTACATTAAAATTTTATATAATTTATTATAAAAATATGAATATTTTTGGTAATATTAATAAATTATTACATTATTTATAAATATTGATGTAATTTGCGGCTAAAAAGAAACAACTAGATACAAACGTAAATGATTGACGATCACATTTTTATTGATGGTGTGAGTTTGTTTTTATCGCTGACAGATGGCACTAAAGTTATGACATTAATTTGGAAAGTTATTACATTAAAATTTAATGGAATTTATTATAAAAATATGAATATTTTTGGTAAATTAATAAATTATTATATTTATTTATAAATATTGATGCAATTTGCCGCTAAAAAGAAACAACTGGATACAAACGTAAATGAGTGAGTTTGTTTTTATCGCGGATAGATGGCGCTAAAGTTGCGACATTGAGTGCGTTTGTAAGTTATTTAGTTACTATATTAACATTTAAAGGGATTTTATTCTAGATATATAAATATTTTTGATAATATTAATAAATTATTATATTTATTTATAAATATTGATGTAATTTTGAACTGGGATGTAATGCGGGGTACGTTCCAAAATAGTTTATTTTTTTTATCAACAAAAAACAAACCTGTCGTTTTATAATACAATTTAATAACAATCAAAATTTATCAACATTTGTGTAATCATTCATAACAAAGATTAGATTGCGAAACGTTTTTTTATAAACTAATCTGATAATAAATACTTAGTCATTTACATTTTTAAACTATTTTTAGCTAACTTCGCTCATCTTTACGGAAATACCAGGTTAAAAAAAATGACATTTATTAACTAAACGTCATAGAAATGTCAAGATTTGGTAAAATCGCGTAAAAATTCGTAAAATTTTCGTTTACGAATTAATAAATACGTTCAGTGCGTAACTTTCCGTGCGTTTCGTGTGTTATCTATGTGTTAAACCTTATTAACACGTCACAAATTGTTTATACCTACCGGGCAAGTACTTGTGAATCGAATCCAGTACCGGATAAAAATTCGCGATGTTTTTTTCATACACAAAATAGAATATTTCGTTTGATAAAAAGTGTAATAATTAAGTTTAAATGTCGCGAATTGTCGTTCTAACGATTCTAATCGTTATATTTGAGTCTTGTTTGGTTTTTGGTTTCCCCCCAGAGAATAGAGGAGAAAATGTCGCAAATGATGAAGTAATAAGTAAAACTAAAACGGGAAATAACACGGTCGTTTATGAAATGAAACCTAACAAGACAGGAAATGATGTTAAAATTAATGTAACTGGTGTAATTACTCCTGAGGTTAAAAATGATCAAAAACAACCCCAAAATCAAACAATATCAGAGAAAACAATTTCCATTATTAATTCGAATAATCTTCCTGCACTTAATGAACCAGCTTTACACAGACTCTTTTATGTCCTCCTAGGGTTAAGTACAGTTACTGTTTGTTATGTTGCTATGAAAATGTATAGGTAAATCATAATTTTTTTATTTAAATAATTTTCTTTTGGATATTTATTTAATAAGAAATAAATTTTAGGGTAAGAAAAGGTGTTACTAGACCTACACATGTTAGAAAATACGGTGTACTTGCTCAAAGGAGTGATATAGAAATGGAACCTCTTCACCTCGACGATGATGAGGATGACGATACTGTTTTTGATGTTGGAGCTCATGCAAACAGGTGATTAACATGGAAAGGTTTTGTTGTGATCTGAGTGATGTACTTAGAAGACTGATTCAATTGATGTGAACTGTTAACTTGGAAGAGGACAACTTATAACATAAAAATAAATTGAAAAATATTGATACTTTTCTATTTATGAAAATTGTTAATTAAGTGATACATAAAAATATATCTTAATATTTTAATTTATTTATAATTTATTTAATAATAATTTTGAATACATTGGAGATTGTCTGGGATCTGATGTACATGTTGCTATTCCATCCATTGGGGGTTCACCAACAAATAAATCCATAAACAATTCATTTTTCATTTCTGGATTAAAACAGTATTGATCAAAATTTGTTACTCCTTTTTTAAGTAGTAATTCATCGTCAATAAAGAAGTTTCCTGTTGTTGTTTTTGGATCAGATGTTAAAATTGCATAGGCAGCATCAGCCATAATTTCAGGTTTTCTTGATTGATTTATCATTATATCTCCACCCAACATATTAGTAGCTGCTGTACCCACCGCTAAAAATTTATTGCATTAAAAACTTTGATATTTCTTTTTAGTATGAAGTAGGGATTGCAATCCCGCAAATCCCGGGATCTCGTACATATTTAAGTCTCGAAAATTATCCCGGGAAATCGATTATAATTTCGGGATTATGTTTATGTCATTATTTTACTATTTTTGGAAGAATAAGTCTCGATCTATCGGTTGAAACTGCAAGCACGCATTCGATATTACAAAATTACATAAAAAAGACAACGAAAAAGAATTTAAATTAATTTTAAATTGTCAGACTACATGGAGTACACTGTTTGTTATGTTGGAGCGATTCATATTATTAGAAAAACTTATTAAAGCGTTGGTAACCATATTGGAACTGGCAAAGCTGACTGTAAAAGCCTGCTGTTAGCGGTGTATTGCACTTGGAAAAACATATATAGCTAAACAATTTATGATAAATGAGATAGAAGAACAAAATATATTTGAAAATGTCTAAACCAGGATTGCGCAACCTACGGCCCGTATCCGGCTCGCGAGGACATGTTACGTGGCCCGCAGGGCCGTAGCTCATGTACTAGTAGAATATTTTGACAATTTTGTTTTTTTATTTTACAACTTGCATTTCCGAGTACCGTTTACCTATGCATGGATTTTGGCTCGCGCAATATACAGGATGCCCGGAAATTGCATTAATATATTTAAAGATGTGATTCTACATAAAAAATCATGAAGAAAAGTTCATATAAAGGTGTGTCCTAAAATGCTTCCTAAGGGAGGTAGAGCGCTTTAAAGAAGACGTTCAATATGTGGTTATTTCTCATTATTTCAAAAATTACTAGGGTTAGAAACACGAAATTTTGCATATCTAGCTATTTTTACGGGGCGAATACGATAATCGAATGAAAAATTAGAAGGAATGTGCAGTTGCGGAAATAAGGGATAGGCGGCGCAATTTATTTCCCATATTTTTTTGGGCTTTGATGTTTTCACTATTTTAACCTCAAAATTAGAATTTACAGAAAAAAATACATAAAAAATGTCGTGCTTATAAAATGGTCTACGACCACTCGTTTTCAAGATAAATAATACTAAGTAAAATACTGCACACAAACATGAAATGTGTATTAAACTATCACTAAAAATCTTAGTAGGCTCCTTTCATTTGTTGATCTTTGCTGTCAAGCGGTCGATAAAAAATTATTTTAGTGCAAGAACCATTATAATTGACGTTTAATTAAATCAACATGGTTCAATACTCAAACGAAGAGATGTCAAACATTCACTTTACGTACGGTAGAGCTGATGGAAATGCCAGAGAAGCACGAAGATTGTACGCAGAACGATATCCAAATCTACAACTTCCTTGTGAACGAACGTTCGCTTCTATTCATAGAAGATTGTGTGAAACTGGGCGCTTTAAGGAAAATCGTTACGACTGTGGAAGATCATGCACTACGAGGACTGTAGAAGTGGAAGAAAGGGTGCTCGATGCAGTGGCTATCAATCCTACGGTAAGCACTAGGAGATTATCCGTACAAGAAAATGTGCCGAAAACCACCGTTTGGGAGGTATTTAAAGATCAGCTACTGCATCCATATCATTTCCAAAAGGTGCAGGCCTTAAAACCCACTGATAGCATCCCAAGACTACAGTTCAGTCGTTGGATTATGGAACAATGGCGTCATGACAGAAATTTTCCGGAAAAAATTTTGTTTACCGATGAAGCTGGATTTACGCGAGATGGTGTCATTAACTTCTATAATATCCATGTTTGGGCCGATGAAAACCCATACAATGTTTTAGCCACGAAACATCAAGAAAAATTTTCTATTAATGTATGGGTTGGTATTATTGGGGATCATTTAATTGGTCCGCATGTATTTGATAACCGTCTCAATGGTACAAATTATCTTAACTTTTTGCAAAATACCTTGTTTGAACTGATGGAGGAAGTGCCGTATCAAACACGAAGGGCAATGTGGTTTATGCATGACGGGGCTCCTCCTCATTTCAGTGTTCAAGTACGGCAATATTTAAATGAAACCTAGCATGGCCCGCACGTTCGCCAGACTTGAATCCCATAGACTTCTTTCTCTGGGGTTACCTTAAATATTTAGTGTATGCAACACCAGTTAACAATGTTGAAGAGCTAGAACAACGTGTAAGGGACGGTTGTGACACTATTCGAAACAAACAAGGTATTGTTTGGAAAGTAAGACGGTCATTAATTAAACGAGTGAGATATTGCATCGACATGGATGGTGGAATTTTTGAACAATTCTTATAACTTTTTTGGTGTTATTTGTTAAAAATTTAAGCGCTTTTTGTTAATGTTTTAAGTTAAACTTTTTATTTTTGTTAAATTGTTAATACGTTTTGTTTAGATTGTTTTTATTAAGGTTTTGGTAACATTTTAAGTTATTATGAAAAATTAGTAATAATCATCTTTTGAATCATTTTGATACAATTAACCATGATTTGCAGACATTTTTGTAGATAATGTATGAAGTTAATTTTTTCTCACCTATTTGGCAGCTTAAATCAAACCAATGAAAGAAGCCTACTAACATTTTTAGTGATAGTTTAATACACATGTTTGTGTGCAGTATTTTACTTAGTATTATTTATCTTGAAAACGAGTGGTCGCAGACCATTTTATAAGCAGGACATTTTTTATGTATTTTTTTCCGTAGATTCTAATTTTGAGGTTAAAATAGTGAAAAGATCAAAGCCCAAAAAAATATGGGAAATAAATTGCGCCCCCTATCCTTTATTTCCGCAACTGCACATTCCACCTAATTTTTCATTCGATTATCGTATTCGCCCCGTAAAAATAGCTAGATATGCAAAATTTCGTGTTTCTAACCCTAGTAATTTTTGAAATAATGAGAAATAACCACATATTGAACGTTTTCTTCAAAGCGGTCTACCTCCCTTAGGAAGCATTTTAGGACACACCTTTATATGAACTTTTCTTCATGATTTTTTATGTAGAATCACACCTTTAAATATATTAACGCAATTTCCGGGCACTCTGTATACCAATGGAACCAATATGTCCCGCGTACAAAAAAGGTTGGGCACCACTGTTAAAAACAATTTCTGTTTAAAAGATTTTCCTGCGTCACCTTTACTTTGTCAGTTATCACCGAGTTTAGCAACGAAAGTATTCAATTTTGGCATTTTGACGATTTTGACTTCCTATCTAGAATATGGTTATAACTGAACAAGTTCTAGTTATGAATTAAGTCTTTATGGTTCATTTTAAACAATTTATGTCTAAAAGGTTTTTCTGCATCACCTTTAGTTTGTCAGTTATCGCTGACTTTAGCAACGAAAATATTCAATTTTGGCATTTTGACGATTTTCACTTTATAACTAGAATATAGTTATAACTGAACAAGTTCTAGTTATGGATTATATCTTTATGGTTAATTCTAAGCAATTTGTGTCTAAAAGGTTTTTCTGCATCACCTTTAGTTTGTCAGTTATCACCGACTTTAGCAACGAAATCATTCATTGTTGCCATTTTGACGATTTTCACTTCCTAATCAGAATATGGTTATAACTGAGCAAGTTCTAGTTAGGGATTATATCTTTATGGTTCATTCTAAACAATTTATGTCTAAAAGATTTTCCTGCGTCACCTTTAGTTTGTCAGTTATCACCAACTTCAGCAACGAAATTATTCAATTTTGGCATTTTGACGATTTTCACTTCATAACTAGAATATGGTTATAACTGAGCAAGTTCTAGTTATGGATTATATCTTTATGGTTCATTCTAAGCAATTTATGTCCAGAAGGTGTTTGTTTCTACATCACCTTTAGTTTCGGGCTGTTGATGTCACCATCTGTATAGAGCGGCGAACGGGTTATAGCGTAGTAGTAACATGCTTCTATCGAGCACATCGATGTGCCGCAACGTAACGATACTGGTTGCATGCTGGCCCATGTAAGATTTGGGGGGATTCTCCGCGGTGCAGCGTTCAATACGTGTTTGGCCGATTGTCCGACCAAACCTCTGCAAGTGGCGTGGTATACTATATGTGGCGTGAAGTGGCCCATGTGGCCCGAGTCTCTACCGTAAGGAGACGAGCCGCCAATGAGTTGCCCGACAACGTCACGCTCTGGATATCACCGACTTTAGCAACGAAAGTATTCATTGTTGGTAGTTTGACGATTTTCACTTCCTAATCAGAATATGGTTATAACTGAGCAAGTTCTAGTTAGGGATTATATCTTTATGGTTCATTCTAAATAATTTATGTCTAAAAGATTTTCCTGCGTCACCTTTAGTTTATCAGTTATCACCAACTTCAGCAACGAAAATATTCAATTTTGGCATTTTGACGATTTTCACTTCATAACTAGAATATGGTTATAACTGAGTAAGTTCTAGTTATGGATTATATCTTTATGGTTCATTCTAAGCAATTTATGTCTAAAAGGTTTTTTGCATCACCTCAGTTTGTCAGTTATCGCCGACTTTAGCAACGAAAGTATTCAATGTTTCGAATTTTGACGATTTTCACTTCCTAACTAGAATATGGTTATAACTGAGCAAGTTTTAGTTACGTATTATGTCTTTATGGTTCATTGTAAACAATTTATTTCTAAAACATTTTCCTGCGTCACCTTAGTTTATCAGTTATCACCGAATTTAACGAAAGTATTCAATTTTAACATTTTAACGATTTTCACTTCCTCACTTGAATATGGTTATAACTGAGCAAGTTCTAGTTAAGGATTATGTCTTTATGGTTGGCAGGGTTGCCCAGCATACGGCCCGCGAGAACATCTTATTATTATTTCCGAGTACCGGTTAGCTATGCATGGATTTTTGCCCGTGCAATATATACCTGGAACCAATGTGGCCCGCGTACAAAAAAAGATTGGGCACCACTGGTCTAAACAAAGACAACAAAACCACCTGTCCAGTTATCTAAGAATACACTCTTCAATACATTGTACCAGGAAATTGATATATTCAATAATGGAGGTAGTATGGATAAAAA